CTACTTCTTCTTCTTCTTCTTCTTCTTCTTCTTCTTCTTCTTCTTCTTCTTCTTCTTCTTCTTCTTCTTCTTCTTCTTCTTCTTCTTCTTCTTCTTCTTCTTCTTCTTCTTCTTCTTCTTCTTCTTCATCTTCTTCTTCTTCTTCTTCGTCTTCTTCTTCTTCTTCGTCTTCTTCTTCTTCTTCTTCTTCTTCTTCTTCTTCTTCTTCTTCTTCTTCTTCTTCTTCTTCTTCTTCTTCTTCTTCTTCTCTTCTTCTTCTTCTTCTTCTTCCTCTTCTTCTTCTTCTTTTCTTCTTCTTCTTCTTCTTCTTCTTCTTCTTCTTCTTCTTCTTCTTCTTCTTCTTCTTCTTCTTCTTCTTCTTCTTCTTCTTCTTCTTCTTCTTCTTCTTCTTCTTCTTCTTCTTCTTCTTCTTCTTCTTCTTCTTCTTCTTCTTCTTCTGCTTAATCTTCTTTTCTTCTTCTTCTTCTTCTTCTTCTTCTTCTTCTTCTTCTTCTTCTTCTTCTTCTTCTTCTTCTTCTTCTTCTTCTTCTTCTTCTTCTTCTTCTTCTTCTTCTTCTTCTTCTTCTTCTTCTTCTTCTTCTTCTTCTTCTTCTTCTTCTTCTTCTTCTTCTTCTTCTTCTTCTTCTTCTTCTTCTTCTTCTTCTTCTTCTTCTTCTTCTTCTTCTTCTTCTTCTTCCTCCTCTTCTTCTTCTTCATTTTCTTCTTCTTCTTCTTCTTCTTCTTCTTCTTCTTCTTCTTCTTCTTCTTCTTCTTCTTCTTCTTCTTCTTCTTCTTCTTCTTCTTCTTCTTCTTCTTCTTCTTCTTCTTCTGCTTCTGCTTCTTCTTCCTCTTCTTCTTCTTCTTTTTCTTCTTCTTCTTCTTCTTCTTCTTCTTCTTCTTCTTCTTCTTCTTCTTCTTCTTCTTCTTCTTCTTCTTCTTCTTCTTCTTCTTCTTCTTCTTCTTCTTCTGCTTCTTTTTCTTCTTCTTCTTCTTCTTCTTCTTCTTCTTCTTCTTCTTCTTCTTCTTCTTCTTCTTCTTCTTCTTCTTCTTCTTCTTCTTCTTCTTCTTCTTCTTCTTCTTCTTCTTCTTCTTCCTCTTCTGCTGCTGCTGCTGCTCATCATCATCATGGCTGTTGAATAAGGACGACTCATTATAGTAAACAGATGGTTGGGTAAGCCATTTCTTTGCTTACAAAACAACTCTATAGGTGCTAAAGCAGAGGTACAAACGAACCACGGTAAAATAAAGCGCCAAAAAAGTGCCGCTCTTGTGGCAAATGGAGCGTGTGGTATGAAATATATATTAAAAGACCAATTATCATTCAGTTGATCACGTGGTCAACTTTACACCGGTCGCCTTTGCTGTCTTCGACATTTCCTTGGACTCATTTTATACCTGGGAATCAAGATGAAATATAAATGTGGATTCGTGCTCGAAACTTTCAGACTTACATGCAAGCGTTTAGTATTTTATTGTAAGAAATATTCACATCCATTCATTGCACCATCCTGTTTTGCCATTATATGTCACATAGGGCTCGTAATCTATTCCTCTATCCCGTTCTATCCTTCAAAGTCACTTCAGTATCATAGATGAAATACAATCGAGTACCTTTGGCTTCTCTCACGAGCCTTCGCTTTCTGGTTTCTCGTGTACCTTCTCGTTTCCTCGATCCTTGAAATTCCCGTTTCATTGCCAGCATGTTATCAAATGAAAAATAATTTATGCAATCCTTTTTTGTTAATTGAGAAGAGAGAGAGAGAACTCTTAAAAGCTTTATAAATCCTTAATTATTTATACTGAAGTGAATCATGGACAGTTGATAAATTAATTAAAACTTATTTACAAGCTCCGAGGATATGGTGTTATAGACGAATGATGAGAATACCCTGGACAGATAAACCTAGTTATCGAGACGTCTTGAAAGAAACTGACTCACCGAGAGAACTGATTGTCTACATCAGAAAGAAATAATCTACTTTCTTTGGTCATGTGATTAGAATGAGAAAACTGCAGAGCATCGTGATAGTAGGAAAGTTGGAGGGGAGGAGAGGCAGAGGGAGACCGAGAGAAAAGATGCTGGGTAGTTTGAGATCAAGGCATGTAGGATCACTTGTGTCAGTGTTGACAGAAAGTACACAAGAAGAACGTTGTGGATAGACATGACTACCAACGCCACATGGCATGGACTTTATGAAGAAGAAGAAGAAGAAGTGCCTGTTTGTCTCTTTTCAGGAAATGTCAAATGTGGCGCCATCTCCTTTGTCTTATATCTGTTGATACTAGAGTTGTCTAGACAGGTCCCTTATTTCTTTACTCTTCATGAATTCATCCCATTTGATGCTCATCATTTTTCTCAGGTACAGTAGAACCTCGCTTAACGAGCACCTCTCATAACGAGTAATTCGCATAACAAGCAAAAAAAAAATGACTTGTTTAACGAGCGAAGTTTCTCATAACGAGTGGCGAGGAGAGGGGAAGTCCCGAAATGTGCGCATGTTACACCAGTCTGTGTTTAGCACTCGTTCCAATAGCATCGTAGTGTCGCTTGTGATCACACATTTTCTCAAAGTTGCGTTATATTGTGTATATGTACATGAATCCTCCAGGCCCACAAGATGACTTCCCTGAAGAATTTAAGTTCATCAAGATCCAGTTTCTGCCTCCCAACACCACTTCCTGACTCTAGCCCATGGACCAGCAAGTTATTTCTAACTTTAAGAAGCTCTACACTAAAGCACTCTTGAAGCATTGTTTTCAGGTGACTGAAGAGACCAACCTCACTGTCAACGAGTTTTGGAAAATTCAAGTCCACATCGTTGCCTGCCTCAAGATGATCGACAAGGCAGGGGGAGGGGTTACCAAGAAAACCCTAACTTCTGCTTGGAAGAAGCTTTGGTCGGAGAGCGTTGTCGATTTGTGACTTTGAGGGGTTCGAGATAGTACCTGTGGAACATGCAGTCAACAAGATTTTGTCTTTGGCCACTATCATGGGATTGTAGGAGGATAACAGTGATTTTGAAGAGCTCGTGGAAGAGCACAGCCAAGAGCTGATCACCGAAGAGCTTATGGAGTTGCATTGTGTTTTACAGCAAGAAGTGTTAGATGTGTACTTTTTTTTCTGCAGATCGAATTCGTATTCCAGGTGGGCTAGTTCCACGTTTGAAGTAAAGAGGAAGATGACTCACTCTCCTTAACAATGTGTATTCAATTTTCTTTGAATAAACGTTATACAACGCATTTTGTATTTTTTTCGATATGGAACGCATGATCGCATTTTACATTAATTTATATGAGAAAAATTGTTTCGCATAACGAGTGTTTCGCTTAACGAGTATGAATCTGGAACGAATTATGCTCGTTAAGCGAGGTTCCACTGTATTTGTTTCCCTTTCCACGCCTTCAGTGTATTGGGCATATAGGGCTAGACCTAAATTTTATAGACCAAACGGCACTTGATGTGTTATGTGGTCAGTACTGTACCTGGTACCCATTCAAGCCTGGGTCGACCTGGGAACCATGTTCGTTTAAAAAAAAAAAGCCTGACCTCTGTCATGACTCAAACCAACGAACTTCCTATCCGGAGGCGAGCCTCTAGTCGCTTGACTATGGCGGCTCCCTCCCATAAATATGCTTGTATAGTATTTGTTTTTGATTTTTAAATTATGTTTTTAATTGATTAAATGGCAATTCTCATAGTTACACATTACGTAGGAATGTATAAAAGCAGCAAAATTTCAACTGTATTCCAAAGTAAGAAGAATAGCACGAAGAATAGGCATTATAGCAGTTGACACTAGAATGATCTGAACACAACCAGCGGCTCATACAAGCATTAGTCTCGGCAGATTGAATAAACCAGCGCATTACTCGATAACAATCTAATGTTTGTGTTACTAATGCTTCTCTAATTTCAAACCAAACCAGCGTTTAACAAACAGTTTGAAGGTCGTATGTGTAGTTTTGTGGTTTGAATGTTAGCTTGGGTTGCCAGATGCAAATAAGTAAAAAAAAAAAGCAAAGGTCGCTTTTGCACGCTTTTAGGTGTATTGGGAATATAGGGTATATTTTTACAGACAATCGGCACTTGGTGGGTGATGTGGTTAGCATCACGCTGGCCACCTTTACTTCCCAGGTCTGTACCTGGTACCCACTCAAGGCTGGTTCAACCTAGGAGTCAAGGTCATTTTTGAAAGAAAACAAAAACCGGCTTCGTCTAGAAGTGAACCCACGACCTTCCGATGCGCAGGCCAGATCCTCTGGTGACTCCTCGCGGCACCATTCTCCTCAGACCGTAATAATCTATTTGCGCTTCCGCACTGTTCACTCTCTCCCAGAGGGACCTCACAACGTCTAGCTTATCATACATCAATTCACCACCAAGTGGTGCAAAACCGGCAATAAATAAAGAAATGCATTGTAACCTAATCCGCCAAACTCCCTGTTAAATTAAACAGTGTAGTCATAATGGCCAATGAAACTTTAAGCCGTGTATTGGACATTGTTTGGGAAGAGTTAACAGTTCATTTATAATAAACATACGAAGTACAGAAAAGGTTAATTATTTATGGTATTTCAAGACACGTTCCGTGTCGTAAACTCTCTCTTGCTCATCAAGTTCTCTTTTTTCAGTCACTTTCTATCTAGTATCTTCTACCCTGGAGATCTTACACTCGTGAGTCAAAGCTTCTGCTTCTCTTCTGTTCGAGTGTTACGGAGATTTTCGGACAGATCTCACTGTGAAGATACGGGATTTTAATTATTTTTGTGTGTGACTGTATTAATGTCCGTTTGTTTCGTAGTCTGATGAAAGCACTCTAGCCTCAGTGTTCATTTTATCGTTCGTGTTCGTGGTTTTCTTTAGCTGACAAGCTCTACATAGCGTTTGGTTTGATAGTTTTTCAAGACACTCTTAACGTTTGAAGTGTTTGTACTACTCACTCCGGCATGATGTAAGTGATGAGGTCAGAGCAGGGCCAAACCTAGTGACTTGCCGTGCCACATTCGGCCCGCGAGCTAGATTAAGTGTTCCCCACCTGAGTTTTACAGCAACGAAGGATCCCTATCTTCTTTGTTAACGTAATCAACACGCGTCGAAACCTAGCATCGTATCTGTATATAACGAAGAAATTACAACAGCAGTGGACAAAAACACATTCCTTTGTTATATTATAGAAATCCTTATTTGGATATCCAGTGAAAATCATTGTATAAAGGTTGAAACAATGGCCTGGAGTCAGTAAGAGAAAAAATGCCCCAAAAACGGCAAATAAAAGTCGCAGACTTTTGAAGCCAGCTTTTAATGATGTAATTTTAACTTGTTGATTCTCAGCCATTCTCGTGTGGTACTGGCTAATAGGATTATTAATGTTAATGAGACGAGTCTGACGTCGAGAAATTATAGATACATGGGTATACACAGTGCAGATAACTATGGCTAGCGCCCAGTGACCACACGGATAAACAATGGTCAATTTTGTATGTTCAAAGCGAGATTGTAAAGATGGGGAAATAAATGCATCGAAGCTTAAAATAAGTGAACAACCCCAAACTGAAATAAGACTCCACATGATTAGTTTACGGGAGATAATTCTTTCGTGTATGAATGGCCGTGCTATAAACAGCCATCGCTCGATAGAAACCAGAAAAATATTAAGATATGATGCAGAAATGCTCTGGTTGCGAAGAAATTTAAAACTGTTCTGCAGAATATCCTCACATGGTCGGTTGTGTTCTCTGTAGGCCACGACTGCTATAAGAACAAGGCCCTGGGTTGAAAAGGCCAGATCGCTGACCGCGGAGGAGACGATCAACACATGAGTTGTGGTCCTTAGACGGTTACTGGAGCATACTGTGATCATAACGATAATGTTGACGAATATAGCCAGAATCATGGTGGCGCTGTGGAGGATCATGTAGGGAGTTGTCGAGGCTGCGGCCATGGATATCTGTAGGCAGGAGATGTTTGAGGTGGAAGCCATCACCGAAGAGCTGCTCAGACTCTGTAACAGTCAATGTAACAATATACTACCCAAAGAAAAAGTCAAGAAACGCATAGCTACTAAAAGGAATATAAATTTGCCATAATTACATGTAACTGGTCATCCCCCTGTGGGATCCAATTTTTCGTTATTTTGAAGCCCCACTCTGGCTCTTGCCAGGGGCCGCAATATAGCCCGGCCATAAATATGGTATAAAGGCTAAAAGCAGGTTTCTGTCACCTCTCCACGAGTGATCCTTATCCACATGGTGGCACTTTGTGTCATCGGGAGTTTATCGCGTGTGTGATGTCCTGTGGAGTAAAATATACTACTACTACTACTACTACTACTACTACTACTACTACTACTACTACTACTACTACTACTACTACTACTACTACTACTACTACTACTACTGCTACTACTACTACTACTACTACTAGAACTGCCATAATTTGTGAAATTTAAAACTATTCTAATATTACGAGTGAAGTTGTTGAAATTTCACAAAATAATACCTTAGAGTTCAAGCAACCTATTGACAGTTTTTTTAAAGCTGGTTTATCGATCATATTTAGGCTTACGGGATTTCCCCTCAACCTATTAAAACTCGCCTTCGGATAACTACGTTTGGTTTCGTAAAACATGGCGGAGGTCATCACTTACTTTTCCACGAGTGCGGCCTTGCCAGCGCTGTTGTGCCACGATTGAACAAAACATGGGGGTATGCTAGAGCTGAACTTCGAACCTCCGACCTTCAGCGAGTTCCCAGAGATAGGACTGGGTATCAAGAAACTGATACACTCAGCTCGCACCCAGGGCTACAGGAATCTGACTATCAGGGAGGCCAGGCTAAACACTTTGGTCGGAGCCAGGGCTACAGGAATCTGACTATCAGGGAGGCCAGGCTAAACACTTTGGTCGGAGCCAGGGCTACAGGAATCTGACTATCAGGGAGGCCAGGCTAAACACTTTGGTCGGAGCCAGGGCTACAGGAATCTGACTATCAGGGAGGCCAGGCTAAACACTTTGGTCGGAGCCAGGGCTACAGGAATCTGACTATCAGGGAGGCCAGGCTAAACACTTTGGTCGGAGCCAGGGCTACAGGAATCTGACTATCAGGGAGGCCAGGCTAAACACTTTGGTCGGAGCCAGGGCTACAGGAATCTGACTATCAGGGAGGCCAGGCTAAACACTTTGGTCGGAGCCAGGGCTACAGGAATCTGACCATCAGGGAGGCTAGGCTAAACACTTTGGTCGGAGCCAGAGCTACCAATGGCGCCCCACCCCCCCCCCCACCAGATCTGGGTTTTAATTTGACGCCTGGAGGAATCTGTTTTTTTTTAAAAATTATATTCTTAAATGAAAGTGGTAAATGTTTCGTTCGTGAATATAAAATTTGTACATTTTAACAAGCTGGGTTTTTATTTTTTTTTCTTTGTCTTTGTATTGCTTGGGTTTTTATCCAGCTAAGCTGGGTTTTTCAAAAAAAAAAAAAAAACATTGGCAGCTCTAGTCGGAGCAGAGGTCGCATTCTGGTTCTCTGCTGGTGAATGAAAACGCAAGGGAAGTTTTGTGGGCTACGACATCCTTGGGACTGTTGTTAACTGGCAACTCTAATTCTAGGCTTAAGCGATTTCTGTTTATATTTGTACATTGTGTGGCTGTGTGTGCAAGAGAGAAATCAGAGATTTGTGGCTATGGAAATTTTCAGAATCAATTAGAAATGCCAGCTTTTTGATAAACTAGTTGTTGTGATACATTAGTCTGTATTTGACCTGTATCTGAAGATGAGACAGACTAGACTTGTATATGTTTAGTCCAAAAGTCTGAAGGCTGTATTTTAAATATCAAATAAATCAAGACTGTTTTTATCGTTTAAAAAAAGGATAACTACGTTAATTTTTTTATTTTCAAGCAGCAAATACACTCAGTGAAGGTGCTGTGGAAATCATGTTTTTTGCTATAGGGAGATTTTAAAGCTCTTGTTTCTTCCTTACCCCACCCCCCCCCCCTTTCTCTAAAATTGTTGGTGTTGTACTTCTTCATCTTCTTCTTATTTCTTCTTCTTCTTCTTCTTCTTCTTCTTCTTCTTCTTCTTCTTCTTCTTCTTCTTCTTCTTCTTCTTCATTTTCAGCTTGTTCTTCTTCTTGTTCTTCTTCTTCATCTTTTTCTTCTTCTTCTTCTTCTCCTTCTTCTTCTTCTTCTTCTCCTGCTTCTTCTTCTTCTTTTTCTTCTTCTTGTTCTTCTTCTTCTACTTCTTCTTCTTCTTCTTCTTCTTCTCTTCTTCTTCTTCTTCTTCTTCTTCTTCTTCTTCTTCTTCTTCTTCTTCTTCTTCTTCTTCTTCTTTGCAAACAAAACAGGGTTGCTTCATCTCTACTTCTGTAATTAGGACTTTTATGAGATGACTTATAATTAAATTTATTTGATAAATATTGAAGCAGGACTGTTGATTTTAGATAACTGTCCAACTAATGACCAAGTGTCAAGGAGTTGATCATATCTTGAGGCCTGCTTGATTCACATACTAGGAAGACGGTTGGAACATAAGTAACATATTTTATTCCTCATGCCATACGAAATGATAATAAAGGAAATGCTAACTGTCTTTCGTCGCTCTCAATTATAATACAAACATTTGAGCGAAACTCACCAAAACATTTGTATAAGATGTGCTTCCTCTGCGGCTTCCACTTCAAAGCACTGGAACTTCAGTGCACGACCGGAATACCTCTCAGGATCAAGCCGGGAAAAAGGCCGAATACCAAGCCACAACCTGTGGCTAATAACTAGCGGTGTTACATAAAAAGACGCGAGCAGAATTATCTGAATACAAGTTTCCAGTCAACCACTTGGAGAATTGTTCTTCTTTTTTACCAGCTGTAAATTTTGGCAGAAAGTTCTGGCTGTTTATCCACTTCTGGACTGCAGTCCTGTTCCAGAACATGAGTGTTGTATGTGCATCCGTTTTAAAGATCTGACTTATTTGTATGCAGACTGCTTGTTTATTGCCACTCAGGCAGGGGCACTCCGATTTGGAAGGAAGCTCCCAATTAGTCGACTCTTACGACATGCTTTTGGGTAGGCAGTGGGTCTATTCTTGTTTTCCCTATAAAAGGGCCCCGGAACCTACGCGGGGATAGGAGAATTGTAACCCACAAGGTTCACACCAGCACCAAGTCCGAACGCCTGTCACGCTCCACAACATGGAGATGATGACCTGCAACTGCACACATAATTCAAGCAGGTCTCACGATTCACTTCTATATCTCAGGCGTTATATCACTCCCATACCTATCAGTTCTTTCTACAATGATACTATGAGAGGTCCAGAAAACCGGTAGGGTAGTGAAAGTTCACATAAACATGCTATTAAGTCACTGCTAAAACACCCAAGCATCACTATGGCACTAAAACGACAACTGATAAATTGCATGTTTATACCAACCCTCTGCTACCAATGCCAAACCTGGTCCCTAACAAGAGCACAGGAGAAAAAGATCACGACGTGCGAAATGAGATGCTTTCGTAAGGCTGCCAATGTCACAAGGAGAGACAGAGTTCGAAATGAGAATATTAGATCAATTGTAGGAACTACACCATGCCTGCAATACAAAAAGAAGCAACAAATAGAGTGGTTTGGCCACTTGATGCGAATGCAAACCGACCAACTGCCTCTATGAGCATACAACGAACAGCACTACTACTCTAGAGCAAGAGGCAGACCGAGAGTACGATGGATAGACAATATATCAGAGATCCTGAGGCAACACGGACTAACAACAACACGTGCAACACACCTGGCCCAGGATAGAAAACTGCGACTCCCCACTACGCTGTGAGGCAATTGTGGACAAGACAAGACAAGACAAGACAAGACCTATCAGTTCAGGACGTGCAAATCAGCTGTGCCAAGCCGAACGGTACGCAAACGCCCAGCGCAGTCTTCGGGGACTACACGTACTGCGACCAAATAGCAACTGCTATTCAGGGTGTCTGTCCCCTCCCTTAGAATGTTGTAAGTTACGTATCCTTTACAAGACGTTGCAGAACCAACCCCAGCATTTTGTTTTACTGTTGTCGTTTTTCTAGGCGAATTTAAGTCCAGTAGTTTGCCATTGCTTCCTGGACAGTCGGCTTCTCCATACCACTGTCGAAACCAACGCAAGGCGCAAGGCCCGCAGCTATGATCAAACCCGGCACCCTGGCATTACGAAGCTCGTTCGCAACGCCTAAGCCACAGACGCCCTAATATACATGCTAGTTATTAATAATCATGAGATAATCGAGACATTAATATTCATTTATTCATGTTCCCACCCCACTCGTTCCACTATCATTCTAGCTCCCTTTCTCTCAGTATCTATGTGTATACAAGTGACACAACAGGGGCGTGTCTGCATGTGAGGCCTGGAACCGTCTACATACAAACACAAGTTTGAAAAACAAATTTGCACGCAAAACTGAAGTTATGGAACGAGACTAATGTCCTACAGTAATATATATACACACACACATATACACATATAATGTGTTCATTACACCATCATCATCATCATTATCATAATCATCATCATCATCATCATCAGGTGCCTTGCCGACTGGCGTGGGCTATCATGAGCCTCTCCATAATCCACGATCTCATGCAGCATGTATCAGTTCGTGTGCCGACACACCTCCATGCCATGCAACTAGACTGTGGAGAAACTTCTCTCGTTGTCTTCCTCTATCCCTCATTCCACAGATCTTTTCTGTGGTCACAGCATTCATTAACCGTAACTAATGTATTTCAGTGACTTTATAATGATTTTAACATTATAGAACATATAATACATTGCACTTAGAGTTTTGAAGTAGTGTCTTACTTACTTACGTCAAGATGAATCTAATGCGCTGTATTGGTTGAACTGCTGTATTGGTTGAACTGCTGTATTGGTTGAACTGCTATATTGGTTCAACTACTGTATTGGTTGAACTGCTGTATAGGTTCAACTGCTGTATTGGTTGCACTGCTGTATAGGTTCAACTGCTGTATTGGTTCAACTGCTGTATTGGTTGAACTGCTGTATTGGTTGAACTGCTGTATAGGTTCAACTGCTGTATTGGTTCAAATACTGTATTGGTTGAACTGCTGTATTGGTTGAACTGCTGTATTGGTTGAACTGCTGTATTGGTTCAACTGCTGTATTGGTTCAACTGCTGTATTGGTTGAACTGCTGTATTGGTTCAACTGCTGTATTGGTTGAACTGTTGTATTGGTTCAACTGCTGTATTGGTTGAACTGCTGTATTGGTTGAACTGCTGTATTGGTTTAACTGCTGTATTGGTTGAACTGCTGTATTGGTTCAACTGCTGTATTGGTTGAACTGCTGTATTGGTTCAACTGCTGTATTGGTTGAACTGCTGTATTGGTTCAACTACTGTATTGGTTGAACTGCTGTATTGGTTCAACTGCTGTATTGGTTCAACTGCTGTATAGGTTCAACTGCTGTATTGGTTCAACTGCTGTATAGGTTCAACTGCTGTATTGGTTCAACTACTGTATTGGTTGAACTGCTGTATTGGTTGAACTGCTGTATTGGTTGAACTGCTGTATTGGTTGAACTGCTGTATTGGTTGAACTGCTGTATTGGTTGAACTGCTGTATTGGTTCAACTGCTGTATTGGTTGAACTGCTGTATTGGTTCAACTGCTGTATTGGTTGAACTGCTGTATTGGTTCAACTGCTGTATTGGTTGAACTGCTGTATTGGTTCAACTGCTGTATTGGTTCAACTGCTGTATAGGTTCAACTGTAAACTTTGCTAGATTATGCGGTAATACAGTAACAACAGTGTGTTTCCTTTTACAGGACGTTGCAGAACTAACCCATATCATTTCTTGGTTGTTTATGATTTCAATTGTCAGTCCAGTAATTTGCTATTGCCTTCTGCTCGGCTGGCTTTTAATTATTGAAACAAATGTATGGAAGTTTGCTGATAAAAGAGCGCTCGGCTGGGGTTGAACACCTTCGTGTTCGCAACGCCTAAGCCACAAAACCGACGGTGAAACAGTAAAGGAACAATTCAATATTAAACAGCCAGTAAAACAGTTGTAAACGCAAAACTCAGGTCCAGGTAAAAGCCAAAAGTTTCATCGGACGATTAACCGAGACCTTCCGCCGGAATTCACAGCCGGCAAACGAAGAAGAAGAAAAAGAATATTAAACACATGTATAAGAACTAATGACACTGTTCAGTTGAAAAGAGCACGGAGTACAGTCACACACTGGACGCCTCAAAATCTAATATTCTTTAATATGAGAACCAATAGGAGTATTTCTCAAACTGTACACGTAAAGCCCCTAGAGCATTGCTCGTGTGTCTGTCATGTCAGACAGGTCAGGTGATAGGACCTAGGAAAAAAGCATGTTTCCAGTGGTACTTAGGTATACGTTCGCTTTGGTGTACATTCAACTTGGTATACGTTCCGTTTAGAATCAAAATTAGTTACAATACAGCTCGCTTTCCTTGTCTACTTCTGCTGAGAGAAAGGTACGGATAGATGCTAAGTACGTATACCGAGGTATTTCTATACAAGAAAACCAAACTAAATGAAATAATTGTCGGGTTGGTGTTTTCTTAGCTATATGTTTGACGACACAGTTCCAAGTTTATTTGCAACTCGCACGGTAAGGATGTCACATTATTTTGGCCAACACTTGCATCTTTTGTGTCATACTTAGAGAAGATGTAAACATGTTCAGAAATCCCTCTGAATTGTTTATATAAGACTTGTTCAGGGTGACGGTACACGTTTTACGAAGGAGATAAAGAAGGGGAGGGGGTGAAAGAGGATGAGGAGGAGAAGAAGTAGAGGAAGAAGCAGTGGAATAGAGGAAGAGGCAAGCGTATGAGCAGGAAACTGTGTTGTAATAGAAAGACGATGGCGCTAAGAAGAAAAAGGTGGAAGAAGAGAAAGAAGTTGTCTGTAGTAGTCTTCTTCTTCTTCTTTTCTTTACCCCTGGAATGTCTCACAGAGTCAGGGCAGAAAGCGATCTCTCGAACGGGCCCTCCTGTTCGCTTCGTTTAACGTTCTTTTCAGCGTCTCTTTTATTTCTGCGGTCCATCGTCTGCGTGGTCGAACTCTGGGTCTGTTACCACTGTATGTGTATAACATTGCTCTCTGTAGCCTCCTGTCTGTTGCCAATATAGTACATGGCCAAACCATTTGATTTGTTGTCTGCCTATAAAGTTCAGTATTGGTTCAGTGCCGATTCTCCTCCTGATATAGTTCCTAAGTCGATCTTTTCTAGTTACACAAAGCGTAGTTGGTAAACATTTTATTTCTGTCGTTACTATTTTCCTTCTGTCTTCTGAAGACAGTGTCCATGTTTGACACCAATAGCAGAGCGTTGGTAAGAATATTGTGTTAAACAGTTCTCTTTCAGTGTTTATATTTAAATGCTTGCATTTCAAAATTGGTGCTATTTGGTCTATAACTTGATTGGCTTTATTGCTTCTATACAACAACAACAACAACAACAACAATGCTTCCCAGATATGTAAAATAATTCGGCTGCTTTAATTCGTGTTCATCAATTTTGATTTGTGGTTCTTCCTTTTCTGGAGAATGTTATCACTTCTGTTTTGTCTACATCGATCTTCATATCGTAGTTGTCGCATTTTGAGTGAAGTCTATCTATATGTTCTTGTAACCGTACTGCTGTTGGTTCAATGATTGCTTGGCCATCGGTAAAAAGCAGTTCATTTAGAAATTCTCCGATGTTATCCCCCTCGCTGTTAGCTGATTTTCAATTTTGTCGACGTATGGGATGAACAGTAGTGGTGATAGGATGCCCCCCTGTCTTACTCCAGACATAGAACTTTTCTTACATTCCTGTATTTATTCTAACTGCGCATTGACTGTTAACCTACAAACTCTTGCACAGTTTAATAAGATGTTCGTTTAATTAATCCATTATCCTTAGTAATTTCCATAATTTATTCCTATTAACTCGATCGAAATCTTTCTCTTGATCGACGAATGCGACTTGTAACTCTTTATCAAATTCTGCCGTCGTTTCCATTAATTGTCTGTGTGAATATTGCATCAGTACAACATCTGTTCTTCCGAAACCCTATTTGTCCTTTGCTAAGGTGGTTCGATGACAGGACATAGCCTTTTTTTCAAGGATCTTACAAAATATTTTCCCGGTGTGGCTCAAAAATGAAACTCCTTATACTTCTCACAGTTTCTCTTGCTACCTTACTTCTTCCAGATGGGTACTATTATTGCGTTTCTCAAGTCCTCCGGTATCTCTTGTCCTCCACTAAGTTGTAATAGGACTTTGTACTTAGTAGTAGTAGTAGTAGTAGTAGAAGTAGCAGTAGTAGTAATAGTAGTAGTAGTAGTAGTAGTAGCAGCAGTAGTAGTAGTAGTAGAAATAATATAGTAGTAGTAGTAGTAGTAGTAGTAGTAGTAGTAGTAGTAGTAGTAGTAGTAGTAGTAGTAGTAGTAGTAGTAGTAGTAGTAGTAGTAGTAGTAGTAGTAGTGGTGGTGGTGGTGGTGGTGGTAGATTAATAATAATAATAATTAATATTAATAATAATAGGAGGAAGAATAAGAATAAAAATAAGAAGAAGAAGAAGAAGAAGAAGAAGAAGAAGAAGAAGAAGAAGAAGAAGAAGAAGAAGAAGAAGAAGAAGAAGAAGAAGAAGAAGAAGAAGAAGAAGAAAGAGAAGAAGAAGAAGAAGAGGAGGAGGAAGAGGAAGAAGAAGAAGAAGAAGAAAGAAGAAGAAGAGAAGAAGAAGAAGAAAGAAGAAGAAGAAGAAGAAGAAGAAGAAGAAGAAGAAGAAGAAGAAGAAGAAGAAGAAGAAGAAGAAGAAGAAGAAGAAGAAGAAGAAGAAGAAAAAGAAGAAGAAGAGGAGAAGAAGGAGAAGGAGAAGAAGAAGAAGAAGAAGAAGAAGAAGAAGAAGAAGAAGAAGAAAAGAAGAAGAAGAAGAAGAAGAAGAAGAAGAAGAAGAAGAAGAAGAAGAAGAAGAAGAAGAAGAAGAAGAAGAAAAAGAAGAAAGAAGAAGAAGAAGAAGAAGAAGAAGAAGAAGAAGAAGAAGAAGAAGAAGAAGAAGAAGAAGAAGAAGAAGAAGAAGAAAAAGAAAGAAGAAGAAGAAGAAGAAGAAGAAGAAGAGGAAGAAGAATGAGAAGGAGAAGAAGGAGGAGAAGAAGAACAAGAAGAAGAAAAGAAAAAGAAAAAGAAAATGAAGATAATGATGAAGTCTATGATCATAAATTATTTTATATATTACTATATTATTAAAAACAAGAAATCGAATCAGAAAAATGAGTAGATGTTGAAAAGAAAATCGTGTTTGTGAAAAATGATGACGATAACAGCATTCCAAATTTTATTTTTTTTAATGTGGAAAATGAAGTTGGGGAAGACGGAGGATATGAAAATTCCTCTTGTCATTTTTTTTTTTTTTTTTCATTTGAAAACGTGTTATTTTAATGGAAACATTTATTCTTTGACAGCATATTTCCTCAGAGGGTAAAGTCGCTGTTTCCTCAGCTCCTTCTTGCTCTTCAGGGACAACTCATACGGTGTGAGAGCACGGCGCAGGGCCCTGGTCTTCTTCTGGCGGAGATCCTTGGGCTTGTGGGTTTTCTTGCGGTAAAATTTGCGCAAGTTGTCTTTCTGTGTCTGTTTGATGACTGTGAGCACGCGGGCAACAGACTTTCGTACTGTGTAGATCTTGCCCAGCTTAGCTGCAGCACCCCCTGTCACTTTAGCCACACGCAAGATTTGCAACTCCTTTTTCAAATCATCAAGTTGCTTCAGAAGCTCTTCCTTCTTCTTGCCTCGCAGTTCCTTAGCCTTGACTTTAGCCATCTTGGTTAGTATTCCGTCTTGTCATATGTGACACAGTTGAGAAAGGACTGAGAACCACTGAGATTCATACACGACAATACTCTTTCTTCTCTAGTCGCTTGTTTACGGAACACTCTCAACTAGTAAAACCATTGCAAATGGTATTTGCGGTAGTGATATATATGAGACCGGGTGAAATTTCCATTGTATTTTCAAGTTAATGTTGTCTAGAAATGTGAGAAAGTATTCAGCAGTGCTCTGCAAGTGAAACTGCAATAATCATACCAACACTGTGCTGGTTTTACTCACACATACACACATTTTAGGCGGTGACGTATACCGGGGACACAGATGGCAAACTCACTGATTTTACGAATCAGCGCTTGCAATCCGGTATATTGTCCAGACATATGTGAGGCATAGCGGCGTCCTGGCTTAGGCGTAATTCCAACGTATCGCGATCGAATCACACTGCAGGCTGTGTAGATTTCTATCATAGTATGGGGCGTCGCTGGGTCGACCCAGTCAAAAATGGGTACCGGGATGGCTCTCCTGGGGAAGTAATTGCTGACCTTAACCACCTTGTGCCGATTAGTCTATAAAAATATGGGCGTTCTTCCCATATACCCTATTCGCCTAAGGGCGCAAAATATGATATTTACTTTTACTATATTTGAGGAATTATCGTAGAACTCACCAGGGCAGTTTAATAGTAGAATTTTGTTCTCATTAAAAAAATCCAAAACAGTGTCTATGAGATTCTTCGCTTCATGATTAAAAAAAAAATGATATGAACATCAGGGAACTTTCCGCAGACTCACAACCTTAAATATATCGGGCAGTAGGTGTCAGTTATTCTCTATGAGATGTCTTTAGTGGGGTCCACACTTATATAATAATACTTTAACTGCTTCAAAGGTAAGACGCATTATTTCAATAATTTTCACTAAATTTTCAGATAAATATAAAGAATTCTCTTTTCCAGAATTTCCATACAAACAGAGATGTTTGAGAAAGTGTCAAGGTCACTTATCAGCTCTGGTATTTCTAAATAGTTGCCATTTTGTTCTGATTTGAACATCCGTTTTACATTTCTGACTCTCTCTGTGTGAGTTCCGGGGACCTATTTAAGGGAAAACAAGAATAGACCTACTGCCTAACCAAAAGCATATCGTAAGAGTCTACTAATTGGGAGCTACCTTCGAAGTCGGGGTGCATCTGCCTGAGGCAAGGCATCAGCAGTCGGTATACAGATGAGTCAGATCTGGAACAGGACTGTAGTCCAGAAGTGGACGGACTACCAAACCTTTCCGCCAGAGTTTACAGCTGGTAAACGCGAAGAAGAAGAAGAAGAAGAAGAAGAAGAAGAAGAAGAAGAAGAAGAAGAAGAAGAAGAAGAAGAAGAAGAAGAGGAAGAAAAAGAAGAAGAAGAGATCTGACTCCTACGACACGCTTTTAAGGTAGTTAGTGGGTCTATTCATCTTTCCAAGAAATAATAGTAATAGTAGTAATTGTGAGGAGTCACCTTGGCGTTGGCGGTTAGACGCCCTGTAACCGATCGAAAGGCTGTGGGTTCGTGCCCTGACGGAGCTGGACTTTTCTATTTCTTCTTCTTCTTTACTTTCGGTTTCGAATGCTCAGATCAGACCATCAGGTGGGTTGCCTCTATGAACTCGCATGTCGGTAGCAGGTGTTTCATGGTTCCCAATAGCTTGCTCTGCACACTTTGTTCTTGGGGCCAGGTGTCTTTTCGAAGTTGTGTGTACAGTGGGTGGGTCTGTAGAATGTGCTGAGGTGTTTGTGGTCCTGTTTGACAAGCACACTGTGGGGACTACAATCTTTATTTTATGCATGTGGTAGTTGAGCCTGCAGTGTCCTGTTCATAGATGGAAAATTGTTGTATGTTGCTTTCTGTTGAGTCTGCTGATGGGGTCTTGTGGATGTTTACTTTTAGTTTGTTCTCTCCACAATTCCGTGTATTTTCTAGGCCTGTACCGAATAGTGATTTTCACTATTCGGCCGAATATGAAAAGCTGGACCAACTATTCGGCCGAATACGAATAGTGAATCATCATCATCATGTGCTTTGCCGGCTGGCATGGGCGATTATGCCTCGCCACAATCTGCGATCTCCTGCAGCACGTATTAGTTCGTGTGCTGACACACCTCCATGAAAAACCTTCGTTCCGTGTTGTCAGCATTAGGCCAGCTTTTTGTCTCACTGAAGGTATTTCCAGCTGTACTAAACAGGAAAATACGACAAATACAGAGAGTCAAAATGAAAACCCGCAAGGCGAAACATCAAAAACAAAAATAACGCCGACGAAGAAAACAATGCCATCCTTACAAGTCGCCCAGCCCCCCGCGAGCTCACGAAACCAGACGCCAGGCGGCCAACGCCAGAAGATCAAACAACAAAGACAATCAAGAAACCGTACGTCGATCAAAACATTCAGCCGCTGCCGTTTCCACGAGACGACGAAAGAACAGATACGACACCCATAAATCATGACGAACTCCCGTTACTTCAAAGAATCAACGAAGAGGACACTCCATCAAAGAAATCAAGCCGACAACACTAGCGGCATTAGCTTTCAACAACAAAAATCGTTCAACGTTGTCAGCATTAAGGCAGCTTCTTGTCTCACTGAAGGTATTTCCATCTGTAGTAAACAGACGTTTACTCGGTACGCTCGTAGGTGGTGCACAAAGATAACGCTTCACAGTATAAACCAAGGTGGGAAGTCTTGATGTTTTTTTTCCACCAGTCCAGAAACCGTTGTGAGGTAACCACTATTCGTATTCGGCCCGACCGCAACTATTCGGCCGAATACCGAATAGGTATTGAGTCCACTATTCGGCCCCGAAGCGAATACGAAGCGAATATTCGGTACAGCCCTAGTATTTTCCCTTGATAAGTGTTCTTATTTTGATATTTGCTCCAGGTCGTAGCAGTTTGTTGGGAAACGAATATGCAGATAGGCTGGCTGGTTCTGTACAACTTGATTGTGACTTCATGTATGACATAATCCAGTTATTGTGAAATGCAATTTTTCTTTATTTTGAAGCCCCTCCCTGGCTCTTGCCAGGGGCCGCAATATAGCCCGACCATAAATATGGTCTAATGGCTGAAAGCGATTTCTGGGACCTCTCCACGGGTGATCCTTATCCACATGGTGGCACTTTGTGACATCGCTTGTGTGATGTCCTGGTGAGTTAAAAATCTAGAAATAATGTATGACATTATAGATGTTGTGAGAGTCCTTTGAGAGAGAGAGAGAGAGAGAGTGTGTGTGTGTGTGTGTGTGTGTGAGAGAGAGAGTGTGTGTGTGTGAGAGAGAGAGAGTGTGTGTGAGAGAGAGAGAGAGTGTGTGTGTGTGTGTGAGAGAGAGTGTGTGTGTGAGAGAGAGAGAGTGTGTGTGTGTGTGTGAGTGTGTGTGTGTGTGTGAGAGAGAGTGTGTGTGTGAGAGAGAGTGTGTGTGTGAGAGAGAGAGTGTATGTGAGAGAGAGAGAGTGTGTGTGAGAGAGAGTGTGTGTGTGTGAGAGAGGGAGTGTGTGTGTGTGAGAGAGAGAGAGAGTGTGTGTGTGAGAGAGAGAGAGTGTGTGTGTGTGAGAGAGAGAGAGAGAGAGTGTGTGTGTGAGAGAGAGAGTGTGTGTGTGAGAGAGAGAGTGTATGCGTGTGTGAGAGAGAGTGTGTTTGTGTGTGAGAGAGAGAGTGTGTGTGTGTGAGAGAGAGAGTGTGTGTGTGTGAGATTGAGAGAGTGTGTGTGTGAGAGAGAGAGTGTGAGAGAGAGAGTGTGTGAGAGAGAGAGCGCGAGTGTGTGTGTGAGAGAGAGAGTGTGAGAGAGAGAGTGTGTGTGAGAGAGAGATTGTGTGTGTGAGAGAGAGTGTGTGTGAGAGAGAGAGAGTGTGTGTGTGTGAGAGAGAGTGTGTGAGAGAGTGTGTGTGTGTGAGAGAGAGAGTGTGTGTGTGAGAGAGAGAGAGCGAGAGTGTGTGAGAGAGAGTGTGTGTGTGTGAGAGAGAGTGTGTGTGTGTGTGAGAGAGAGAGTGTGTGTGTGTGTGAGAGAGAGAGAGAGAGAGAGAGAGAGAGAGAACAGTGTGGAGACACAAAAACATCATTGCAGTCCGAGAAGAATGACGATTGCCGGAAGTTACCAGGCAATCTAGCCGAGGCTCAACACTCAAGGGTGAGACGAGATCGATATACATTCAAAGTGTTACTGGTGCCACTGGAACTCTTCGCTTGCTGTTGTAGATGTGGACAAAGCGCTTATAGACATTTCCAGAGTACTGTGATATCAGCATGGAACATTGGGCAGTCGGTTGGTGATGTGGTCAACGTGACACTGGGCTCTTAATTTCCCAAAACTACCTGGTACCCATGTAACCCTCGGTCGACATGAGCGCCAAGATGATTTTCAGCTGTACACACAACACTGAGGTACTGGAACTAGACTACAGTCCAGAGGTGGACGAACCCCCAGAACTTTCTACCAGAGTTTACAGCCGATAAACGCACAGATAAGAAGAAAAAAGTTGAGAAACAAAAATCTTACTGTGTGCGAATTCGAACCCTAGATATTCCGACTCGAGCTCTGTGCCTTGCCGCTACACCACCATTCCGCTTCCGTTGGGTCTTTGATAATTTGTCGAACCTTTTTTATTCTGCTGCCGGGAGACCTAATATAACCAAACAGTTTAACAGGGTTTCTGGGACCTCCCTATGGGTGATCCTCCTCAGAATGTTGGCACTTTGTGTCACTGGGTGTTTATCGCTCTGTGTGATGTCCTGGTTGGGTAAAACTTACTTATTACTCAAGATACTATTTACACATTCTAACGTTACATCATCTAATTATAGAGAGGATACGAAACCTTCCCAAAACAGGACAAAATATTTCGTTATTTCAAAAGCCCACTCCGGCTTTTGCCGAGGGCCTTGATATGACCCAAACTATGCTTTGAACAGGGTTTCTATGACCTGTCCTCATTCTCATCCGAATGGTGGCACTTTGTGTCAC